AAAATCCCACGCATTGTGTTCAGTTTTGGGACCAAATTTCGCTCAGGGTTCACCAGGCATGACTTCCTGTTGCGGGTAAGTCAGATCGTGACGGGGAGGCATATTGATCAATACCGAGTGAAAGATTAAGACACCGATCCACAAAGCGTTCGTAACGTTACGATCTATCGTAACTCTACAGTTTACCATTGGCTTTAGAATGTCGTATACTGAGTCAAAAACTTCACAAAATGTAAAAATTTGAAAAATAATGAATAATTTTTCTCTGATGATACATCTATGTATCCGAAATGGGATCCCTATCTTTCGACTCTAGAAAAACGTTAGCAAAACCCTCTCAAACCCATCCATTCGTCGTGCAAATGACGTTGAGTGCCAAATCAGGTTTGCACGTGCAGTCGATCACGTGATCTTCGCATCGAAGTTTTCTTCATATGCACGTGTTTGCATTGGCCTCAAGAATTGAAAAACACTTTTAAACCACAGTTCTAACGGTACTTGAAATGCCACGATTGTCAAATGTGCAACGTAAACGTGCCGTTGGCATGTTGCAAGCGGGAAGATCAGTTACTGACGTCGCAAGAGCAATGGGATGCAGCCGTCGTACTGTGTATGACTTGCGAGGTCGTCTACAACAAACTGGCACCACTTCTGATCGCCCAAGGTCGGGTCGTCCACGTGTGACGTCACGAGCAGAAGACCGTCAAATCGTCCTACGTCACCTACGTGACAGATTTCTGCCGGCTACACGAACCAGGGCTGAGATGTTTAGAGGTCGACTGTCCTCACAGACCATTCGAAATCGGTTGCGGGCTGCCAATCTCCATTCTCGACGTCCATATCGTGGGCCAATATTGACGCCGTTTCATCAACGTCAACGTCTGTTGTGGGCCCAACGTCACCTCCGATGGACCAATAGACTGGAATCGAGTCGTCTTTAGCGATGAATCCAGGTTTACCCTCAGATTCGCGGACGGCAGGCATAGAGTCTGGAGACGACGTCGTGAACGGTATGCCCAATGTTGTGTACAGGAAGTCGACATATTCGGGGGCGGAAGTTGCATGGTGTGGGGTGCTTTCTGTGGGAACAACCGTTCCCGACTTCTGGTCATCCGTGGAAACCTCACAGCTGCTGCTTACCGCGACCAGGTGCTCACCCCCTGAACTCGTTCCTTTCATGGCGGCTCAGGGCCCAGGTCTACAGTTCCAGCATGATAATGCTCGGCCGCATACCGCGATGTTGACACGAAATTTCCTTCAAAACGCTGGAATCAACGTCATGGACTGGCCATCGAGGTCCCCTGACCTTAATCCAATAGAGCACGTTTGGGATGCACTTGGGAGAAGGCTTCGTGGTCTTAGGAACCAACCTCAGAATTTGCAGGAACTTGGCGCTGCCTTGCAAGAGCAATGGCGTAGAATCCCCAACCACGTGTTCACAAGCATCAGGCAGTCGATGAGGAGACGGTGTTTGGCAGTGGTGAATGCGCGGGGCGGCCATACACGATATTGAACTGAGAAATTTCGCATTTTTATTCTTGTGACTTGACATTCTGTATACCCATGTTTTGGAACGGCGGTGTAGCCTAATGGAACTGATTATGGCACTGTCAGTGTATCGAGTACATCACACAGATCTCAGCAATGAAATAATAACAATTTAACCATCTTACCATCTCTTGTTCTTTTATAGAGCCCTGAAATAAGAATGTGAAGTTTCTTTTTTGACCCAGTATATGTTTTATGTATTTAGACTCCATAGAGAGTTGAAACCGGACATCAATGTAAACAACTGATACGTTAACTTGTTATCGATTCACTGACATCAGACCAGTAGCCACACATCAAAAGTTCAAACATGCGTTGGATCATTTGTAATCAGGAATAAATATAATTGACTAAAATTGGTTCGGCATTATTGCAACGAAATCATATAGTTTTTTGTTAAATTGTCAGGGTCATCTTTCATATTACCCTATTCTTATACTGACGTGTTTACCGATTCCACAGATGTTCTCCGCTGAACCTGCCCCCTCAGTGTCAGCTGCTCGACGCTCCCCCAGGCAAATGTTGTAAAGTGCCACAGTGTCCTGATGGAGTGAAGATCAACTACCCAAAAGGATACGTTCCGCGATAGAGTGATCTCCCTTTGTAATGACAAGGGCGTCACGGGATGATTTTCATTAAGATCGATAAGGGATTTGTCTCCAAGTGATTTTCGAATAATAAATACTCCACTCTGTCATTTATCTCATTTACTTGTTGCCAGTTATTTTGATGGCTTCGGATTTTTCGGCCAGTAGTAGCTTAACATTCAGCGCACTACTCGTATTTCTATAAATTACCTGGGCCCATAGCTTCGTCTGGGGAAATAATGTTACAAGTAACAGGTGTTACGTTGTGTAAGTAGTATCACCGTTGTCAGCGGCGTGTGACGCAATGGTGCTGAAATGGTTATACTGTGGAAACGTTGGCCCATAGCCAGGCCGGACACGGGTTTGATGAAGGGCGGATTGCAACCACTTTCATGTCAACTGCACAATGGATCTACATCTGGTTATGAACTCTGCGAAAATTCTGTTGACAGGATTTCAGGGGAACTTGACATAAACTAGAAATTACGCACTTAATTTCACTTGGCGTCAGTACAGATTTCCCCAGAATGTGCAAGTGCGTGTCCGTGTGCGTATGTGCGTGATACTGTATGTGTAAACGAGAGAACAGAACTGCAATGATAACCTCAATCCATGCGAGATTTCATTGTACAAGAGAATGAATACAGCTTCACAAAAGTGACAAGTTGAAAAAGTGTTAAAACTGTTGAAGCAGCATACACAAAAAGAGGGGTTTTTGGGGGGCTTGGCTGTAATTAGACGGTTGTTGCATGGATGGGGTCTTATTTTGAGACGGATTACTGATAAAAAAAACCCTGAAAATTTAGGAGTCATCCTTGATCCTGAGCTGGATCTTGAAGGACAAGTCAATCATCTCATGCGAGTCTGTTCCCTTCAACTGAGAAATATAGGAGCAATACGAAATCATATGACTAAAAAGAATCAACGGAAATCCTTGTTCTGTCTCTTGTAATGTCTAGATTAGACTATTGTAACGGTTTACTTGCCGGGCTTCGCAAGTGCTAGTTTCAAAGGACAACGGATCCAGAATACTTGTGCAAGAGTAGTTATTCTATGCCCAAAGTCTATTGAGTTTGTACATGACATGCAGGGGGGTCACTTATTTTGTACATAAATTTTAGGGGGAGTCATTCACATTGTACATGCTTCTCCATAAAAATCATCATCATCTCACACACACACACACACACACACACACACACACACACACACACACACACACACACACACACACACACACACACACACACACACACACACACACACACACACACACCTAGCAATATTCCAGCAATATCACGGCAGGGGACACCTGAAATGGGCTTTACACAAGGTACCCATGTTGGGAATCGAACCTGGATCTTCGGCGTGATGAGCGAACGCTTTAACCACAAGACCCCCCACCGCCCCCTGACTTAATAGGAACCACTATGTATTATTTCGCAAATGGCATCGTTCAGATAACGTGAAAGAGACTTCAGCATTATGATAGACGTATACATGTAAACTTAATATTTGTGAAATCCATAAAGACATAAGAATAATCTCTGCTTCCTGTTAGGGATTAAAACTTTCATTATACACTTTCATTTCTGAATGATGAAATACTCATCAATAAACCAGCAGGTCAACATGATAGAACGTTAAATTGATTTAAAATGACAGAACTGAATTTGTCTAAGTCATTTGAGAGCAGGACTAGCCAGATCTAACCGTAATGAGGTTATCTTATAACAGTTGTACAGGACTAGCGAGATCTGACCGGAGTGAGGTTATCTCATAACAGTTGTACAGGACTAGCCAGATCTGACCGTAGTAAGGTATCTCATAACAGTTGTACAGGACTAGCCAGATCTGACCGGAGTGAGGTTATCTCATAACAGTTGTACAGGACTAGCCTGATCTGACCGGAGTGAGGTTATCTCATAACAGTTGTACAGGACTAGCCTGATCTGACCGTAGTAAGGTTATCTCAGTACAGTTGTACAGGACTAGCCTGATCTCATTGTAGTGTCGTGCCCAATAGAAACTGTACAGGAATAACTTGATCAGACCGTAATAAGCTACCCCTTAACAGTTGGTCGGGTTTGACTGATCTGGCAGTACAAAGTACGCTATTACGATTGTCCAATACTACTCTAATCTGACCGCTTTAAGTAAGGGAGAGTGCAGTCTGGAACAATAAATGACTACAGAGAGATACCCTCCTTCTGATAAGACACGCTATGTCAGCTATCTTCCATGCCCTACTCACGTGACTCGACGATATCTTCAGGTATAAAAAGGACTTCATTTGTCCTGGAAAATAACGTTCCAATGTCAGGATATATTTAGTTTTTGTTTCAGTTTGGACAGTAGACTGAAATGTATACCCTTCTGGACACCATGTTTTTAAGAATCGAGCAAGCTGTATTTACCAATACTTCAAAGAGCTTAATACTCTTTCTCAGATGTTATTCAATCAAAGTTTCAACATGCAAGGCCTCAGTAAAGCTTTCAAAAGGTTTTATGTTGGACATGTTTTCGCATCAGTGACAACAACAATGCCCAGAAAAGTTTACTTGCCTTTGCGTGTGTTTGTTACGGGTACCACGGGTAAGGTAAGATACACTCCCGTTTTCTGATTGTGACTCATAAACACATGCTCGCACGGAATCGTATAATCGACTCTTGGTTTGGCAAAGATTAGTTGTGAATCCCTTGACAAGTTTCCTTCTGAAAGAATCTGAAGAAATTTCCTTAGCATATTTTCGTGCTAATATCTGTGTTGGCCATGTTTATCAGTTGCATATAAAATTTCATAAAACAATAAGGTCAGCACGATAAGGTCTATTTTCTGTCACTGCATGCATACCTAGATAATACAGTAGTCAATCCTGTCGTTATAAAAGACGGCGTAAGTGACGACGAGGCAATCCGGAGCTGTTGGTCAAGCGACATGGTTGGAAAGATAGCGCTGATTCTTGTTGCTGTTGCAACCGTCACCTATTCTGCCAGCGTCAATGTCGTAAGGCAGACAACGGGTAGGTGTCTTTTTCTAATTAACTGGGGAGGTGGGGCACCCTAGTGTTAAAAGCGTTCGCTCGTCACGCTGAAGACCCCGGTTCGATTCCCCTCATGGATTCTATGTGTGAAGCCCATTTATGGTGTCCCCCGCCGTGCTATTGCTATACACCCATTATATATTGTGGCTGAAAATGAAACCAAATATACATGTATTTCGAAAGCGGATGTATTTTACCGTTGTTCTGAACATTGAGAGTTTCGGTGACTGATTAAAATACTCATTAGCGTTTTGATAACGGTAGTAATCTTTTGGTCAGACCCAAGTTTGAAGTGTATGTTATGCCCTGACCTGCAGTTTACGTAACGCCAGAGTCGGTTGTTTGTTTCTGGGATAGCAAGGCAGCCTATCAGACGGGGTTGATATCATGGACACTTTATGACATCTGAGTACAATGACATAGTTCACACAGATTTCTTTCACGTACACTTAGGAGATAAACATCATGTGTTGGCGAATTTCCGGGTGTTATTGAGTATTTGAAGCACGGGAATTCATTTAGAACCGACGGCGTCAGCCGGAGGTTTCAAATGAAATATTCCCATGCTTCAAATACTCAGTAATACCCCGGAACTTCGCCAACACATGATGTTTATCAACATTGTAAACACAAAAGTAAACCAAAAGGTCTACACACGTTTTGTGTCTGCACTCATTGACATCGAGTACGGGTACAGCAGTGAAATGTCATCAGCCGGCCGTTTCGGCTGTCTCCCATGGTAGCATCTGGAACTGTTCATTTGTGACGTCATTCGGACTTTACGTCACAATATGATTTTAATGACGTCATCACAGCTAACGACGTAACAATACAATGGTGTGAGCGATGTTTGTATGTATTAATACGCAGCGAATTTCCGGGAATCGAATACCATTTGATCACGTTTTTCAACCAATCAGATGAAAGAACACAGTGACTTTTGGTTTACAATGAACCGCGATTGAAGCTAGATGTTCTCTTCAAGTCAGATGTTTCTGATGTTCGTGGTGTTAGGAACGTAATTTCAGAAACGGCATCTGAGAAGGCCGTGCACATTATTGCCAGGCAGTACCTTGAGCAAACAGTCTGTGGTTTAAGATCAGCTGGGAACATTGTATTCACACAATTGGAATATTTTAATTAATTGATAAATATATTTAATACTCGACCCTCTTACACTCGCTTTCGCGTATTATATTTGTTGTTTTTTCTGTTGCATAACCCTGTACTCAGCAGTATTCTATTATATGCAGGTAGTCTGTAAATAATCCAGTCTGGACCACACAATCCTGTGATCAACATCATGAACATCGATCTTCGCAGTAGGGATACGATGCCATGTGTTCTTGCATTAGATACGTTATGAAGTACATTCACTGCTATGAGTGAGTGAGTGAGGATGATTGTTCCAGCAATATCACGGAGGAGGGCATCAGAAATGTCACTCGCGATGCGTTCAGTAATCTGTGTGTAGCGTATTCTGTTTAGGCCTTTAGTAAAAACTCACTACCGGGAGGACAGGACTGGGTATTCTGTTGCAGTGACGTTCCATATTAACTTTACTAATACCGATCAATTTGATTTGTCCCACCCAGGGTGCTTCTACAAGTCAGTCACCCACCAGCAGGACGAGCAGTGGTTGGACGGGTGTGACTACAAATGCACGTGTGTCGACGCTTCTATTGGGAAATACCAATGCAGTACTGTGTAAGTGTACATGATATATCATGTGTCCACGTGTATGCCAGGAGTCATGTCCAAGGTAGAAACTGAGACTGTTATGAAAGATCGAAATCCGTTCGTAATGATATAACTCATTTTCAGTGATCTGTTCATGCAGTTGCCACCGCTATATTACCTTTTGCTGCAAATTGAATCTGTTTTGTCGGATAATCGAGACTAGTTATTCTTTGGCTTTGACGTTATATTTGTTCATCATTTAATTAAACTTTTTGCGATTCCTTATAAAGCTTGGTAAGTTATTAAGTACACAAGATACTTCTGTATATTGCCTTATACAGTATCATGGCCGTTTATTGAATAGTTGCTCACCAATCTCGGTTATATCAGAAATTTTCCCAGATCAGCTCATAGAAATTGTTGCCTCTAATTTCCTTGCCCAGTAGCATGTTTGTGTCGAAAACGGAAGTGAATGAGCATTTCGGAATGAAGATTTAAAAGCCTTCACCCAGCATTGTGAATATTTCGTAACCTGCTGTCTAGGTGTTTTATTCCAGCTATACCTTTGTTGCCATGGTTTCATTTCTCCGTCACCAGACTAAGTGCACATGCCGGTAATCGACACCGATTATTGATTCAAAATCCCACGCATCGTGTTCAATTTTTGGGCCAAATTTCACTAAGGGGTTACCAGGCATGACTTCCTGTTGCGGGTTAGTCACATCGTGACGGTGAGGCATATTGATCAATACAGAGTGAAAGATCTAGGTCCCGATCCACAAAGCGTTCGTAACGTTACGACCTGTCGTAACTCTACAGTTTACAATTGGCTTTAGGATGTCGTAGCGCTACGAACGCTTCGTTGATCGGGAAGCTGACCCCATCTGTCCTTAGGCCAAGGGATCTAGAGGACATGTTAATTACAAAATTCTGCTGCAAGATTGATTACACGCAAGCGACGCACTGACCACACTACTCCAGTTCTCTCCATCGGTTGCCAGGTCAGCAGTGAATCTTCTATAATATCCTGTTACTGACTCATAGAGCCCTCTACAGGGAAAACAGACCTCTCTACCTTAAAGAGCCCATCAGTATCTACAAGCGATTGAGACCTCTACGCTCCTCTGGGTCCCGTTCCTCAAAGCGACCGTAGCGCTTAGGTGATCGTAACTCCCATACTTTAACATAGACTTACGACAGTCGTAGCGCTACGATCGCTTTGAGGAACGGGGCCCTGATCAGTTCCTTTTGCCCCAGCCAGTAACCACAAGCAAAATAGGTCACAGAGCCTTCTCCACTGTTGCACCTCAATTATGGAACACTTCACCATCAGAACTCAAAGCCACCATCTGTGAATCTACTTTCAAAAGCCTAATTAAAACTTTTCTGTTCAGAAAATATTTGACATTTTGCTCTTTCACTCTACTGACTCCTAGATATGCGCCAGTGAGCAACTAGACAGATGGATACAAGGCGGTATACAAGTGAATTATTATTATTATATTTGTTCTATGTATATCGACTCCATAGAGATAGAAACCGGATATCAATGTAAACAATTTAAATATTAACTTGTTATCGATCAACTGACATCAGACTGTGACCAATTAGCCATACATGAATAGTTCAGTCATGTGTTGAATCATTTGTAATCAGGAATAGATCTAATGTAATTGACTAAATTGCTTCGGCATTATCACAACGAAATCATATAGTTCTTTGTTAAATTGTCAGGGTCTTCTTTCATATTACCCTATTCTTATTCTGTCGTGTTTACCGATTCCACAGATGTCTTCAGTGGAACCTGCCCCCTCAGTGTCAGCTGCTCGACGCTCCCCCAGGCAAATGTTGTAAAGTGCCACAGTGTCCTGAAGGATGGAAGATCAACTACCCAGAAGGATACGTTCCGCTATAGAGTGATCTCCTTTTGTAACACCGACAATGGCATCACGTGATGATGTTTCATGAAGGTCGATAAGGGATTTGTCTCCAAGTGATTTTCGAATAATAAATTAAATACTCCACTCTGTCAATTATCTCATTTACTTGTTGCCAGTTATTTTGATGGCTTCAGATTTAGTAGCTTAACATTCAGCGCACTACTCGAATTTCTATAATTACCTGGGCCCATAGCTTCGTCTGGGGAAATAATGTTACAAGAAACAGGTGTTACGTTGTCTAAGTAGTATCACCATTGTCAGCGGCGTGTGAAGCAATGGTGCTGAAATGGTGATACTGTGAAAAACGTTGGCCCATAGCCAGGCCGGACATGGGTTTAATGAAGGGCGGATTGCAACCACTTTCATGTCAACTGCACAATGGATCTACATCTGGTTATGAACTCTGCCAAACTTCTGTTGACAGGATTTCAGGGGAACTTGACATAAACTAGAAATTACGCACTTAATTCCATTTGGCTCAAGTACAGATTTCCCCAGAATGTGCGAGTGCGAGTGCGTGTGCGTGTGCGTGTGCGTGTGCGTATGTGCGTGATACTGTATGTGTTAACGAGAGAACAGAACTGCAATGATAACTTCAATCTATGCGAGATTTCATTATACAAGAGAATGAATACAGCTTCACAAAAGCAGGCTAACACTAGCTAACTTTATTCCAAAAGTGACAAGTTGAAAAAGTGTTAAAAATATTGAAGCAGCATACACAAAAAGAGGAGGTTTTTGGGGCTTGGCTGTAATTAGACGGTTGTTGCATGGATGGGGTCTTATTCTGAGACGGATTAATTATTAAAAACCCTGAATATTTAGGAGTCATCCTTGATTCTGAGCTGGATCTTGAAGGACAAGTAAATCATCTCATGCGAGGCTGTTCCCTTCAACTGAGAAATATAGGAGCAATACTTTGCTAGTTTCAAGGACAACGGATCCAGAATACTTGTGCAAGAGTAGTTATTCTATGCCCAAAGTCTAGCCACTTCATACCTGTGCTTCAGGAATTGCACTGGCTTCCTGTCCGTCAGAGAATTGCTTTTAAAGTCCTGTGCATCACCTATAAGTGTGTAACGGGTGCTGTTCCTGACTATCTGTGTGAAGTACTCCAACTGTTCACACCAGCAAGATCTCTCAGATCCGCGTCACAGAACCTCTTGTGTGAGAGTATGACCAAAGATCCTTTGTGTTCTATGCAGCCACGGAATGGAACAGCCGTCCCCTCAATATTAGAACTGCACAATCCTATTCAGCAATCAGATCATATCTGAAAACCTATCTGTCCCAAAAAGCGTACCCTACATGCTGAAGTGTATCAAATAAACGTACCTTAACCCTGTGCTCTGTGACTTTAAATATTGGGCGCTTCGAGCAAACATTATGATAAATGGACTATTTATTATTTATTTAAAACCTGTGTCCGATTCTATTAACTAATTTGACCTGGACATGTACCATTTCTTCTCGTGTTTTGTCCAGATAAAGATTACTAGCGATTGTTTGTTTGTGACGGTGCAGGATATACTTTATGTTTGATACTGACTCATACACACGCAGTCATGTTATAGGCGAAATTGTTCAATGCATACCTGTGAAGATGCGGGTTACAATTGATCTTCAGTAACCCATGTTGTCGCAAGAGGCGACAAACGGGATCGGGTGGTCAGGCTCGATGACTTGGTTGACAAATGTCATCGTATCCCAAAGGTGTGTAGATCAATGCTCATGATGTTGATCACAGGACTGCCGCCGCGGTGAAATATTGCTGAGTGTGGCGTAAAACTAAACTCACTCACTGCTTTGACCAGATATTTCTTATGAATGTGGAGAGGTTTTGTCGCTTAAAATTTTCAGTATTCAAAATGAGCTGGGTAATTCTTTAAGGAGGCTGAATTTTTCTCAAACAATATGTACAGATATAAATGTAAAATAACAACAATAATGTCTAAAACTTATTCCACATATTCCCATCCTTGTGTCAAGTTCAAAATTCATTAATACTGTATTATGCTGTGGGCGAGGGAGTGAGTTTAGCAGCATGAGCATCGATCTGCGCAATTGGGAACCGATGACATGTGTCAACCAAGCCAGCGAGCCTGACCACCCGATCCCGTTAGTCGCCTCTTACGACAAGCATGGGTTACTGAAGGTTCATTCTAACCCGGACCTTCACGGGTACAGCCTTGGATGAAGGTGAAGTTACCTTTCGTATTCTAACGGAGTAATCTGATGTTTTGCCTCATGTGTAAATTGTTCTAATTGTTGCAAAGTGACCCATTCGACCCACTGTTGTCATTCCAAATATTCAACCCCTGAGCTGACCTCTCCGCCTGAAATCGTAAAACATCTACAATTTTCTATATTTTCTTAGAAAAAAAAGACTCTGAAATATCACCAAGCCAAATAGAGAAATTGTAACATTTACGTCGAACACCTGGTTTCATAGTGCTTGACCTGGTATCATCACTATTACATAGTGAACGGTTGCTAAACTGACTGCCTAATAGAATGCCTACGTGCTGTGCAGTTCCATCATTATGAAAGATGTTTAATTAATCCTAAGTAAGATCATACAGTAAAATCCTGAGTAAACATATTTGAGCAATTGCCTATCCAGTACCAAAAGCAATCAATAAAACGCAAAGATATTCTTCAGACCAAAATGGGGAATGGAACCTGGGTCTTCGGCGTGACGAGCGAACGCTTTAACCACTAGGCTAACCCACCGTCCCCTTGAACCACAAGGTATTATCTCGCCAAAAAGAAACCAAATGGAATCGTTTAGATAACGTATATTTGCATTGACGTATGTCTACATGTAAAATTACTAATGGGGAAATCCATTAAGACATAAGAATAACCTCTGCTTCATGTTAGCGATTAAAACTTTCAGTATACACTTTCATTTCTGAATCATGGACCCGTGAAGATCCGGGGTAGAATAGGTCTTCAGCAACCTATGCTTGCCACAAAAGGCGACTATGCTAACGGGATCGGGTGGTCAGGCTCGCTTACTTGATGGATACATGTCATTGGTTCCCAATTGCGCATATCGATGCTCATGTTGTTGATCACTGGATTGTCTGGTCCAGATCCCGATTATTTACAGACCGCCGCCATATAGCTGGAATATTGCTGAGTGCGGCGTAAAATTAAACTCACTCACTCACTCACACTCTGAATCATTGATTTAAAATGACAGAAATGAATTTGTCTAAGTCATTTGAGAGCTTATCTAACACATATCGTGTTTTCCAGACAACGAGACAAATTCTAAAACTACCTAAAACTGTTGGTTGGTTTGTTGTTTAGCGTCCCGCTCAGCAAAAATATTCCAGCTATGTGGCGGCGGTATGTAAATAGTCCAGTCTGGACCAGACAATCCAGTGATCATGAATTTATGAAAAAAACGAGGGCAGCATCTTGAAATAAACTTAATGAGTTATGATACTCATAAACACTTTTAATATTATGCTTAAAATATAGTCTTGTACATTTCTTTTTTTAATACAAATCTTATGCTTGTCGTAAGAGGGGACTAACGGGATCGAGTGGCCAGGCTCACAGACTTGATTGGCCCATGTGATCGTATCCCAGTTGCGTAGAACGATGTTCATGATGTTGATCATTGGATTTTCTGGTCCCGGCTCGATTGTTTAGACACATAGCCGGAGTTAAACAAGAAACCAACCAATCATAGGAAAGCACCACATTTGTGTCTTTCGGAGTATCGTTTAACCAAGTCTTCCAGCTATAAAACGTGTTTGTAGATACCCACAAATTGCACATATGCTTTGGTGTGTGGGAGGGCGGTTAGCGCTATGTTGGAATATTGATAAAATTACGATGGAACAATGCTGAATTGGTTAGTTATGATTATGAAGAATGTGTAATCACCTGCTGACTAAAAAATATCACCCGTTTTTTAAATGAATATCCAGTACGACTAGCCAGAGATATTCAAAATGCTTTTAAAAAGGATAACTTTGACTCGCGTGCGCAATGTAGTAATAATGCGCAACCAGTTTATTATGATGATTTCATGAGAGAACAACTATTATATAATAAACATTTTGCTTTGAATCTTTTTACAGTGAAAGATTTTATTAAATGACCTTATGAACATTTACAGTTTATTTAATGACGATTTTATTACTCTTCAAGAAATTCGTGATAATATATTTTAGCATAATCTTTTGGGAATATTATGGTGTAAAACCCATAAATAGATATATGGAGCAGTTGAAATAAAAGAAATCATCGCATAACGTTATAGACAATATTAACTGTTATCTTGATAAAACACAAATTATTGTGTTCAGAAAAGGGGCATTGTTTCGAATAAGGAAAGTGGTTTTATAAAGGAAACCAAATCGCCACTGTAAATAGTTACAAGTATTTAGGTGTCTGGTTTTCAAGTAACTTAAAATGACTAAATGCATTTCAGACTTGGCAAGCCGGGGTAAAAGAGCATTTATGGAAAAACTCATATTGGCTGTGAGATTTGATTCTCAGGTGTGCAAGCAGATAGTCAAGAATTATTGGAAAAGGTACATCTTCTAGCCTGCAAACGATTTTTAAGGGTAGGAAAACAAACTCCTAATACTATTGTATATTGCGAATGTGGCCGCTATCCAATATATATAAATGCTTACTTACGACTTTTACGTTATTGGCTAAAATTGCTCAAAAAGAGCGAGTGTAGATTACCCAGATATTTTGATGACATTGGAAAAAGAGTTGGGTATCGTTCATAAAAAATATCTTGTTTTCTCATAGATTTGGATATATCTGGATTAACAAATCTGTTGGCGATGAACTTTCTTTTGTACAATTGTTTAAAATAACATTGATAAATGAATTGTCTCAAAGTTGGACTTCCACGTTGAATATCAGCTCTAGATATGTGATGTAAAGAGAATATAAATTCATATTTGAACCAGAAAGATACCTGTATATCATATTAGAAAAAAAGGTGCGCTCTACTTACATCAAATTCAGATGCAATGTCTTGCCACTACGTTATAATGAAGGTAGGTGGCAATCAATCGAATCTGGTTTACGTTTGTGTCCCATTTGCAACACCT